TTTTTGTCATTTTGGTAAAAAGTGATATTTTCGACTTCTTGTTGAAAACCGCAAGTCCAATTGCTTTGATATTACATATATAAGTACTACATGTCGACCTCTCTCAGATTTGTTCATTTTGTAATGATATCTTCAATTCTCTAATTTTGGTGAATATTTTTGTAATTTTTGGTAAAAAGTGATATTTTCGACTTCTTGTTGAAAACCGCAAGTCCAATTGCTTTGATATTACATATATAGGTACTACATGTGACCCTCTCTCAGATTTGTTTATTTTGTAATGATATCTTTAATTCTCTAATTTTGGTGAATATTTTTGTAATTTTTGGTAAAAAGTGATATTTTTGACTTCTTGTTGAAAACCGCAAGTCCAATTGCTTTGATATTACATATATAGGTACTACATGTGACCCTCTCTCAGATTTGTTCATTTTGTAATGATATCTTTAATTCTCTAATTTCGGTGAATATTTTTGTAATTTTTGGTAAAAAGTGATATTTTCGACTTCTTGTTGAAAACCGCAAGTCCAATTGCTTTGATATATTATACATATAGGTACTACATGTGGACCTCTCTCAGATTTGTTCATTTTCTAATGATATCTTCTGTTCTTTAATTGCCATGTGCATTGCTAACAGCGGAGCTATCTCAGCCGACAGGCTGCTTGTTTATTTCCTCATAGTCATTAACTACTTTCATCTACAGAGTCCAAAACTAATAATATTTCGTGTATAGCTATAGAATACTCTCATCTGATAAAATTTTGGGAAAAATATTTCACTATCACTTAAGAATCATTTATATAAAAATTTTGTATTTACTCCGGCTCATGAATTTCAAATAAATTCGTCTTGGACGAAATTAATGTAATTTATGATATATGGTCAACCTTAAAGCTAATCGTATCTCAGATATTTCAATTTAATTTCTTTTAAATTTTGAGCCGTTTGTCAAAAAAATAATAAAACTGAGTAATTAATTATGATTTTAATGATGCTGTACACAATAAATACAAGTTCTGGTTGATGTGTACTGCTATTGGAAAAACAAAATATGAACTTTTATGGAATGTTATGTTTTAAAATGATAACTGTTGCAACCAATGAAAATTATTTATTTTTGACAAGATATATTGAGATACAATTTCATTTTAATTGAGAACATATCATGCACACAAGGATGTACAAGGAAAGTACTTATTCTGACCAAATTCTCCAAGAATATAAATTCACATTGCGCGATTTCAATTAATGTGGATGTGAAATGCGTTCTTATTCACCCACCTTTAAATCTTCTATAGCATAAAACACTTGGTGAGACACAAGGCTTGGCGAATTTCATACGTTGGGGAGAAAATTTAAAACAGACAGGGAGTCTTCACTAAATTTCATTGTTGCGAACAGCGCCTTTAAAATTATTAAATCACGAAGGTAATACAAATGCATATTTTTAGCTCTGCTGTCTACTTTTTTGAGCGGAGCTTATCATATGAGTGATTGTCTGTCCCGTCGTCATTTGTCGTCCGTGTCAATGTTTTACTTTTTCGACTTCTTCTTGAAAACTGCAAGCCTGAATGCTTTGATACTTGGTGTATATGTACCTTGGGTGGACCTCTCTTAGGTTTGTTCATTTCATGATGATATCTTCAATTCTCTAATTTTGGTGAATATTTTTGTCATTTTTGGTAAAAAGTGATATTTTTGACTTCTTGTTAAAAACCGCAAGTCCAATTGCTTTGATATTTCATATATAGGTACTACATGTGGACCTCTCTCAGATTTGTACATTTTGTAATGATATCTTCAATTCTCTAATTTTGGTGAATATTTTTGTCATTTTTGGTAAAAAGTGATATTTTTGACTTCTTGTTAAAAACCGCAAGTCCAATTGCTTTGATATTTCATATATAGGTACTACATATGGACCTCTCTCAGATTTGTTCATTTTGTAATGATATCTTCAATTCTCTAATTTTGGTGAATATTTTTGTCATTTTTGGTAAAAAGTGATATTTTCGACTTCTTGTTAAAAACCGCAAGTCCAATTGCTTTGATATTACATATATAGATACTACATGTGGACCTCTTTCAGATTTGTTAACTTCGTGGTGATATCTTCAATTATCTAATTTTGATGAATGTTTTTGTAATTTTTGGTGAAAAGTGATATTTTAAAATTCTTGTTGAAAACAGCAAGTCCCATTGCTTTATATACATATTGTTCATTTTCTAATGATATCTTCTGTTCTTTAATTGAAATGTGCATTGCTAACTGCGGAGCTATCTCAGCCGACTGGCTGCTTGTGCATAATACATGTGCTAATTTTATGCATAACTGCAGACATTCCACTTTGTCCTACAATGCAGCCAGGATTACATGTAGATCAGTACTTTGCCCTAGTACTCTGTAAAATTGATTCTCTACTTGTCAATCAAGTTATGGACCACTTAACCTTCTCACCTGAAATTCTTGGAATTTTCAAAAGATTTTGAGTTTGTCAGCAGCAACCCCCCCCCCCCCCCCCCCATATAAAATCTATTGATATATGTGACTTAACATTGTCTTACTAAAGTTTACCCAAATCTATAACTACAATAGTTTATGTAGTTTAATACCTAGTAAATTTCCTGCATAGCAATATCTTACTAATATTGATATGCCCGGTACTAGTAAAGCATTAGTGTCTGTACATCCGTCTGTCCGTCAATCTAATCTGTGTATATAACTTTTTTTACACATTTTGTATGTAATATATAAAATTTATTAAAAATTGGTAATGTTGATTTAGTTATTTCACATGGAAGTAAAGGATGAATCTGGAATCAATATGAAGCTAGGTACAAGATTGTACCTGATTGGCTACCCATGGAGCTAAAAAATCTTTTTTTAGCTCCATGGGCTACCCAATCCTAACATTTAACAGGCAGACCAATCAGAGAGAAGCTTGTTTGTTGACAGGTTTTTGCTTTGACCAAACTTGTAATCTGTCAGGATATGTCTCATTCTAATCCAAGAAGATCACTGAATTAGGAATATTCTGTTCTTAGTTACCCTAGAAACAATTGTTGAGGTGCAATGTTTAGTTTCCAAAAATGGGAAGGGGTCTCATTTTTGCTTGATACATTTTGACATTTGTGTTTGTTTGTTTGTTTGTTTGTTGATAGACTGAAAGTCTAATAACTGGGGGAGAAGATGGCATGCTATCACTATGGACCAAAGAGGGGAAGATTGAAGAATTGTCCAAAGAGAGACCACAGAGGGAGACTAGGAAAGTCAGAACTGTAAGTATGCTATTATAATAATACTATTTTTGTTTCTTGGAGCAATACTTGTTTGCAACCATCCTTCTCAGATGAAAGTCTGGTTACAAAACTTCACAGTGCTTGTTTATGAACTTAAGTGTCAAGATGGCCGACTACCAGTACGAAGAAGAGCTGTTTGGGTTACCACTATTGTATATAATTTGATAAGAAGTCTGTTATTCCCCTGGAATCCATCCATGCCATGACTTTTTTATTAATGATTTACTTTTAAGGTTACTAGGCAATGCTGGGTAAACCCTATTCAAATCGAGTTAAAGGCCCAGGTATACTATACCGTAAATACGCTCCTAAACAATAGGGATTATTTCCTTGCTTGTCACGCTGTAGTAAACAGCTCCAGCCAAGCCCCGGTAAAAACGTGTTTTCTCGAACTTACAGCTCGATTATGTCATGCCAAAGTGGATGCATGTGACTATGAATATCACAGCAGTGACTGTGTGTTGTATTTATGACAATAAATTATGTACGAGCTGAGATTTTGGCAGATAAAAGTAAAAAAACATGAACCGGGGAAAGGGATGCGCGACTAATCTTGAATAATTACTACTGTCAATCAAAGTCACGTGATGTTGGACCGCTGAAACAGGATGCATTAGAATAGCCACACCTCCAATTCACACTTGCCCGGGGCAAGTGAATTGGGCCTTTAAAAATTTCACCAGATACTGTGAAATACTATTTTCGTTTTGCAATTTATTTTTGTTATTTTCACTGAAGAGATGATTCAGTGTAAATAAAATCCAGTGAATATACCTTTTTTTGTCCTATATTTTATGTTCAAATCAGTGAAAAAAAAAACTCAAAATGTCTTTCCAGCGAAAATTTATTCAAGCTAAAATAAAGTACTTTACAGTAGTCAAAATATGATCTAGTATGTAGTTGAGTAGTGTGTGTTAAATGTTGGAATATTGTGTGTTTTATCTCTAATCAGAGATGTACGGTGACTAGTCATTTAACCATATCTCCCTATCCGACCACCTGAGGGCTTCAGGTTTAATTGGTAGTTCTCTTTTTCAATGCTTGCAATATTCAGTATTTTGCTCACACAGAGACATCACATTTAGTGGTTGTTTGAAGGTATATAGCATACTATGTCACCAAAACATAGTATGTGTCTTTATTTGAAGAAGTCAAACAATTGGTTTGAATTGAATAACTCACCACTAAACTGGAAGACCTCATACTTACCAGCGTTTTTGAGCAGATGGGGAAAAAAATCACTTTTTTTTCAAAATGGCACTTTATTTAAACCTGTCATGTTTCAATGCCATGTGTTGATGAGTCATTAAGTAAATCTTAGGAAAACTGTTGATGAATTAATCGCTGAGGCACAACCAAAAATAGAAATATAATGACATGTGTTTTATTGAACTGTAACTGAAACCAAATATTTTTTTGTCACGTAGATAAAAAAGAAAATAATTGACCGAGTAAAGTGGTTAAAAACTGTCAGCTGCTTGACTGAAGTTACAAAAGTACTGTTTCCTTATAATGAGTCTACTGGTTTTATACAATTAAACCAACTTTATACCGACTGAATTTTATCCCTTAGTTTGAAGAAAGTGAAAAACGAGATGTGACATGATATTCTGTTATTTCAATTATTGTGTTATTGCTGACATATTTTTTGAGTAAAAACTGAAAATTGACTAAAATGTTGTCTGTTGGCTCAAATATTAGCGTTCATTTCCAGAAATATTGAAGAATATAAGAAAAATGTGCAGACAAATTTGGGTGAGAAAGTCTGGTGATGAAAAGGTTGAAATTAAGACGTCTGACATTACAATGGTATAATGTCAAATATGGGTTCACTACAGCAAAGCTACGATAAAAACATGTGCCTTTCATTATTGCTATTGAGTTAGTCACCTTGCTACAAATTCTACTTTATTTATGCATTTCTCAAACATTCGGTGTATTTTTGCAAACTAATTCATTACTGTACGGGAGATAGTGACTAATTCCAGGGGGGGGGGGGTGAAAAATAATTGTTTTTGTTTTTGGAGAGCAACATTTCGTGATACTCCAGGAGTTATTTATAGTTTTGAAAACATTCTTTTCATTTTAAGAAACCATCACACAATGCTTGTTGCATGTTGACCTTGTCCCAGTGGTTCTAGCAGAGTTCATGTACACAATGAAAGGGTATTGTATGTTATTGCATTCCATTCTCTTACCTATCACTGCCTGGTACCTACCAACTGTCATGACTCAAAGTGTTTTTTTTTTACAAAACAACAATATTTTAGCGTTAAAAGCTTTTTTTTACATAATCACAGATAATTGTTAAAAGTAAAAAAAAAAATTATATTTAACTATTAATAATCATTGTTTTTGTTGATTTAAGAAAGAATTTTTAGTGCGTGTGAATTGCTATAAATTGAACAGTTTTAATAAACAGAAAATAATGATAAAGTTGAAAGCTGCATTTTTTCCCAATTTTTTTTGGTGACATGCCCAGCCATTTATTCATATTCACGTTTCATATTTATGATAGATGAGAAGAAAAAAAAGATGACAATGTTACACAGATGTTAATAAAAAAAATTGAAAATTTTGAAATTCCAAAATAGTTTACTCAAGACACGCTGTTAGTGTCGGCCGGCCGTAACGTACGTGTTTGAAATGCAATATCTTGTAGGGGCCAGTATTGAAAACAACAACTCCAAGGCTCATTACCTGTCTCATTTGCATGACAAAGAGACACCTGTTATGCCGAGTCATTGTTGCTCCGATCTGATCACCTGTACAGTGTCTAATACTGATTACTGGATTAAGTTTAGATCAGTTTTAAATTAATCGAAAACAATTATTTTCTTCAAGCTGTTGCGAATAAAATATGATTGAAGATGTTGTTCATTCTAGTCATTTGTAGGTAATAATTAAGTTTATTTGCTCTCATGAACTTGAATTTCACAAACAGTCAGTTCATAATATCCATGACATTTGAATTACCTTCTGGTGATTTGCAGTACATCTACAAAGGTTGGGTACACCTTTATAAGTAAATTTTTTTATGATATGCTATAGAAAGTAATTTTTCAGGGGTCACTTGGTTCTCGGTCTGCTTCACTGCTCATGTTTTAATGAAGTCACACCCCAATGAGAATATTGTGACAAAATAATGAATATAACTCTGCATTGTGTATACTGTGATGAACAAAATGACTCTAGTTTTACTAAAAATAGGGTTAAAACAATCTAAAATGGGATAAGGACAATACTGGAATGTAGTGAGGACAATACTAGAATGGGGTGAGGACAATACTAGAATGGGATAAGGGCAATACTAGAATGGAGTGAGGACAATACTAGAACGAGCTGAGGACAATACTAGAACGAGCTGAGGACAATACTAGAATGGGATAAGGACAATGCTGGAATGTAGTGAGGACAATACTAGAATGGGATAAGGACAATACTAGAATGAAGTGAGGACAATACTAGAATGGGATAAGGGCAATATTAGAATGGAGTGAGGACAATACTAAATTGGGATACAGGCTATACTACAATGGGATAAGGGCAATACTAGAATGGAGTGAGGACAATACTAGAACGAGGTGGGGCAATACTAGAATGGGATAAGGGCAATACTAGAATGGGATAAGGACAATACTAGAATGAAGTGAGGACAATACTAGAATGGGATAAGGGCAATATTAGAATGGAGTGAGGACAATACTAAATTGGGATACAGGCTATACTAAAATGGGATAAGGGCAATACTAGAATGGAGTGAGGACAATACTAGAACGAGGTGGGGGCAATACTAGAATGGGATAAGGGCAATACTAGAATGGAGTAAGGACAATACTAGAATGGGATCAGGACAATACTGGAATGGGATAAGGGCAATAGTAGAATTGGATAAGGGCAATAGTAGAATTGGATAAGGGCAATACTAGAATGGAGTAAGGACAATACTAGAATAGGATAAGGGCAATACTAGAATGGGATAAGGGCAATACTGGAATGGGATAAGGGCAATACTGGAATGGGATAAGGGCAATACTGGAATGGGATAAGGACAGTACTGGAATGGGATAAGGACAGTACTAGAATGGGATAAGGGCAATACTAGAATGGAGTAAGGGCAATACTAGAATGGAGTAAGGGCAATACTAGAATGGGATAAGGGCAATACTAAAATGGAGTAAAGACAATACTAGAATGGGATACAGGCTATACTAAAATGGGATAAGGGCAATACTAGAATGGATTGAGGACAATACTAGAACGAGGTGGGGGCAATACTAGAATGGGATAAGGGCAATACTAGAATGGGATAAGGACAATACTGGAATGGGATAAGGACAATACTAGAATAGGATAAAGGCAATAGTAGAATGGGATAAGGACAATACTAGAATTGGATAAGGACAATACTGGAATGGGATAAGGACAGTACTAGAATGGGATAAGGGTAATACTAGAATGGAGTGAGGATAATACTGGAATGGGATAAGGACAATACTAGAATGGGATAAGGGAAATACTAGAATGGGATAAGGACTATGCATTTGGGTTGAGGACTATACTGGAATGGAATAATGGCAATACTAGAACGGGATAAGGGCAATATGCATTTGGGTTGAGGACTATACTGGAATGGAATAATGGCAATACTAGAATGGGATAAGGACAATATGCATTTGGGTTGAGAACAATACTGGAATTGGATGAGGACAATACTAGAATGGGGTGAGGATAACTAAAATGGGATAAGGACAATACTAGAATGTGATCACAACAATAAGCTGGTACATTTGGAATAGGGTTGAAACAATCAAGAATGGGGTTATAACATCCATAGGATATGTTGTTTATGTTATGGAATGCTATTGATATGCAATTTATGCAGTTCATATGAATTTTGGTAGTAAATATTTCCAAATATTTCAATGCAAATAAACAAAATTAAGATGACCTTGAATGGGGTAAGCTGGGGATGATTCAAAACTTTTCCTTTGTAAAATAATCCAGAAAACAAACAATTTATACTTTATTGGGTTTGTACAAACCCAATGAATGGAAGAGGACATCCTGAATGGGGTAATAAAACTTAGAATGAGGTAAAGACTTATAGAATGGGATAATGGAGCCATGGTGTTTTTTTTTATAATGGCTCCTATGATAATGTGTTACCATATGTTGATTACGTGTTGGGTCTATTGATTAGGAAAGGTCAACCAAGAACTAAACCAAAATGTCTCACCAATTCATCGAATATACTAAAGTACTATATTTGTCAGAGTAACCATTGGATGCATCCCGTTTCAAACTGTCTCACATAGGTGTCCTGCACCATAATATAGTTCCTTGGATCTATGATCTCTATCAATTTACATTCACGATTCACCCTAGTTGCATGTATTGATTTCTCTCGATCATTGTCCTAGAATTTCTCAGGAAGCCGTGAATACCGGATCTATTTGTGGATTGCCTTGAGGGAGGCATTTAAATTTAGCTATCTGCAGACCTGTATACATCGCTGTGTTACTTAACTAACCATGAAATGAATTCTTCCTTTACGAATTATTGCCATCTCGCTGGCTACACTTGTTTACATACTTTGCACTGTTTTCTGGTTTTATTTCATGCTTGCAGGCATTAGTTTCTAAAAAAAGTATATTCTGTTATTTTTAAACGTTTAAGCTGTGATTAAAATAAAAAAAAAACAGACAGATGGAATATCCCTTGCTAACCAGTTTACAATTTGTTCTTAATTTGGTGTTTATATTATTATTACATTTACCACTTTGTCACTAAGTGTCTTTATGGACAGATTTGGAAATATTTTCTGTTCTGAATCAAAATAAATATGTTTATAATCAAATTTTTGTCTTATTTTGATTTTTTTTTTTTTGTTCAGGATCTTGTTGTCATATTTCTTTTTAGTATTCAATGTCTCAATTCATCCTACCAATTCCAATTATTTTGTTGTTTGTGTTTTTATTTTCAGATGCACGCCGAAAAGTTGCCGAAGAAAATGCAGCGGCTGAAGATACGGCACACGACAAAACCCTACAAAAAGCAGTGCGATGCCACAAAGTCACAGCAACGCGACATCACAATGCAAGTCCAGTGTGACAATGCAAAGACGGTACAATGTGACAATGTAGTGGTACATTGTGACAATGCAGTGGTACATTGTGACAACGCAGTAGGACAGACGGACAATGACAATGCTAACTGATCGTTTAAAAGCAATTACTAGCAGTTGCTGAGTTCTCGTAGTGAGCAGTTTTCAGCACAATAGACAAAACAGTAAAACTATTTGATGTTGGTGGTCTTTGGGACCTACAAGTATTTTCAAATCTGCATGTCATGTGGAAACCACAATGCAAAATACAGAGACAAGCATCTATCATTGTTTACCTCACATTGAGAGGTGTTGCCATGGCAATAACGATAGGAGCCAAGGAAACATATGCATTCTGTGTTAATCACTGCAAAATATAAGCATGGTGCTTTGCAGAGTTGCCAAGGAAACTAACATCGCAGATATTTCTGGCTTTAAAGCAATGTAAGTTGGTGTGAACATAGTAAAACTGCTAGGAACTTTGTCTCTTATTGAAAAGCCTTTTTCGTCAAAACAATCGGTAAATAAATTCAAGCAAGATGGTTGCAGCAATATTTATGCTATTTATTTTTATCATAATACAGTGGTAACTGTAATGCAATGTTATATCATTCTCACATATGTGTGAAATATCAGTTTTATGGGATAAATTGTATTTAATTAACTGCTATACTATGAAGTGGTGCCAGAACCCTATCAAACAAATTTAAAAAAGTATTTTCACATCTTTGTGTGAGATTTTTTTCTCAGATCTTTTTTATTCCTCCAATTTTCTTATTCTTTTTTTTTTTCGTTGTTCATAATCAACAAATCAGCCATTTAATTTGAATCTGTGTAGCATTGATTTCCTGTTACATTATCACATTGCTACAAAAGTATCACTTATCAAAATCAACTTTTTGAGAACAGAGCTATGGCTATGAACTCCGTTCAACTAGATGCAGTCGAGTAAATATTTTTTTTTTTAGGGTTGTTAAAGACGATCCTTCTCTGTGTTTGATGCAAAGACCATCCTTTCTTTTTGAACCAATGTACAACTATACCTAAAGTGAAGACCTAACCAACCATTCTAAAATAGGTTCCATTTTGCATGCTATTTTGGGTGTATGTGCACTATTAAGACACTAAGTGTCCATTGAACTCTTTGTCATTTGTTTATGAATAATTCAACACTTTTGAAGAACCAATCAAATTCCTTACTAGCTCAGTCAATAGAAGCTCAACTCTGCGGTGATTGATGTTCCAATAGGTAAACTTCTCACCAACTCCAGATGTACCTTGGCTGAAGTTGTCATTTCACACAAGGTGCAACTCTGGCATATAGAACAAAACAGTATTACTCTGTGCAAGACTTACAAAAGTGATTCAAAAATATGTGAGATTAATATGATGCCAGTTTACAGTCAAGATATAAAATAGTAGTTTACATTCTGCATATGAATACAACCATAGTGGTTTACAACCTGCATAGATTAGATATTGACACAAGTGGGGGTTTAACGAAATGAACATATGACCAGAACAAGGGGTGACCAAGAGGTATAATTTGTTTATTTATTTATTTTATTGTTATTCTCAGCAATGGCTAATTTATTCTGTCGTAATTAGAGGAATTCAAAGCATCTGTTGAGAAATCAAAAAAATAAATAATGTTAGTGTTTCCACAAAGTTGTTTGAAAGTAAACAACTTGACAAATTTGTCAATACTAAGTACATGAAATAATGAAAAATATGTGTAATTCTGTCAGACATCTTAACTATCGTATTGCATTCTGGGTAATTAAGAATGGAGGCATTTAGCTTGATGGACATATTAAGTTGATAACATATTCAAACGTCCAAATGTTTATCGTTGTATTTGAACCTCAATACTTGATTTTTTTGCCAAGTGCACATATTGCCTTTGACATGAATTTACTTTTAATTGCATAACATTTTTATAACTTTTTTTTTCAATAATTTGTTTATTAAATTTTTTCACTATCATGTATAGTAATTATTGTTTATGACTGTTGTTTGTGTGCGCGCCTGTGTTTTTTAGCATCCTCATGCACATAAAGACTTGAATTCTTGCATATACCTGGTAAATAAAATATTGATCTGTGACTCAACAATTTAGCTTTGGTTGGAACATTTGAATTGTTCATCTTAAAAATAACATGTTGAATGAAAACAAAAAAATTCCTATTTTTATAAGAAAAACAAATTTGCTGTTATTACACCGCAGCCATTGTTGATGATTTGCATTCTCTAAACTTTTGCATTGATGGAACATAGCAGTGAGTCATGTGTAACTTACCAGAATGCAAATTATTTAGAAATGGCAGCCACACAATATATACGCGAATTGTTGTATTTGCATAATCATCACATTTTGGTATTGCATAGTAAATTCAATACATACTAAGTATTTGCACAGATAGATGCTTAGAGGTGTTGTCTCTCTCTCTGCAACCCGACTATGGCCATATTTTTCAATAGTTGTGCACAAAACCTCACTCCTAAGTCACAATATGGCAAAAGTCTTTTTCTTGGTAAAATAAGTAAAAGTGATGTTTACGAGATTTCTTTGTACTAAGTGTGGTGTTCACAAGATTCTTATTTACTAAGTGTGGTATTTGCAAGATTATTTTGTACTAAGTGTGGTGTTTACAATATTATTTTGTACTAGGTATGGTGTTTCACAAGATTATTTTGTACTAAGTGTGGTGTTTACAAGATTGTGTACTAAGTGTGGTGTTTACAAGATTATTTTGTACTAAGTGTGGTGTTTACAAGATTATTTTGTATTAAGTGTGGTGTTTACAATATTGCTTTGTACTAAGTGTGGTGTTTACAATATTATTTTGTACTAGGTATGGTGTTTACAAAATTCTTTTGTAATAAGTGTGGTGTTTACAAGAATCCTTTGCAGTAAGTGTCATGTTTACAAGCTTCCCTTGTATTAAGTGTGGTGTTTACAAGATTATTGTGTACTAAGTATGATGTTTACAAGATTATTTTGTCCTAAGTATAGTGTTCACAAGATTCGCTTGTGCTAAGTATGGTGTTTACAAGATTATTTTGTACTATGTGTCGTGTTTACAAGACTATTTCCTACTAAATGTTGTGTTTACAAGATTATTTTGTACTATGTGTCGTGTTTACAAGATTATTTTGTACTAAGTGCGTTGTTTACAAGATTCCTTTGTACTATGTGTGGCGTCTACAATAGTCTTTTGTACTATGTGTGGTGTTTACAAGATTACCTTGTACTGAGTGTGGTGTTTACAAGATTATTTTGTACTAAGTGTGGTGTTTACAATATTATTTTGTACTAGGTATGGTGTTTACAAAATTCTTTTATAATATGTGTGGTGTTTACATGATTTCTTTGTATTAAGTGTGGTGTTTACAAGATAGTGTACTAAGTGTGGTGTTTACAAGATAGTTTTGTACTAAGTATGGTGTTTACAAAATTATTTTGTACTAAGTGTGGTGTTTACAAGAGTATTGTGTACTAAGTGTGGTGATTTACTACAAACACCATCATTGTTGCTGCTGCGTGAGTTTGTAGATGTACAATATGTCGATGGTCGGATCAGAAAAACTCGTTGGACTCCCTCACCAACCACCTGTCCGATTAAACCAGATAGTTTTCAACAAATACACTTTCTAGTATCCGGGATAGATTTCAACAAAGAAACTTCTGAGTTATGGTTTCCATCGAAGACCGATTCTGCAGGAAATGGTTACGGAAAATTAAAGACATATTTATAACACTAGACAGTTATGACAGGGATAAATAGAATGACCTGGTCACGTGACTGAAAGTAGTATAAATGTTTGTCGTATATATAAGATATATCACTGATAATTCGGTGTGCCGCCAAACTTCTAAAATCCACCAAACCCCGAAACTTCTGTTACCTACGTGACACCTTTTAGGAGTCCTTGGGTAGTAATCAAATACTCAGATATTAAAAACGGGCTTGTGAAAAATAATTAGCTTAATTAACTTGTTGATTATGCGTACATACCTCTGCAAAATATAGATATAAATAAACAGTTGATGTGTTCATGCAGATCTGCAACTGTTAGTGTCGTAATATTATATTCTACATAACAGACCCTTGCCAAGAAAGGACAAATTAAGTTATTACGAGTCACGTGACGAATGCAAGAACCCTAAGCATGTGACATAACTAGTTTAAACCGCGAGGAAAGTGGTCACCATTTCTTCACTTCAGTTACGATTTTATTCACTTGTGCGATATATATATGTACATTTTTCACCGACCTGTAAAGAACACATATTATTTTTGCTAGCTTTTTATTTCTTAAGTGCCGACTTGAACGCGGTGGTTTGACTCATCACAATTGATTCGGAGATTGTTTGATTTATCGCCGGCAAATGATATATATGTTTTCGACGGATTAACGATGTTGAATGCAACAAACACCGTAAGTCTAATCCGATGATTTACATCATTGATTACTACAAATAGCTTTTGAATTTCAATTTAGAAGTCTATCAACCCATTTGGATGTCAGTTAGTGCTCGGTCCATGCACGGGCACGTCTGTGTATCCCACTAAGCAGGTGGCAACATGAAATGTCTAACCAATGGTTTGAAAATAAATAAACTATTCCGCTATGCATTATGTCATATTGATATTGTAAAATGCCGGATTTCGATACGACAATTTGGAAAATTGGACTGTAAACAGAGTTGATTTCTGATAGATCATTTTCTCTTGTTTGTCGATGATTGGTCAGGTATCAAAAGCCTGCAGTTAGTATATGCAGTAGTAAAGTATTTTTTTAACTTGGTAACATACTAACCTATACCTACATCATTTTAAATTTATTATTTTAATTTATACTGTGCCCGTCGTGTTAGCAAAGGGACGGCACGTGTGTTGGTATGATGGTTTTCCCAACGTGATGTCCAATTAGTCAGGTGGCATAGCAAGATGATGTGGACATTCAGGACAAAAATACCAAACTTAGTCCACGTATTCCTAATTGCATTACCTGTTGATTTTTAATAAGTTCCACTTCCACTAAACATATTATGGCGGCCATCTTGGATTCTAAGATGGCCGCTATGTAAAAACCCGTAACAACCATTATCGTGGTTTCTAAGCTACTTAGGCTCAAAATGTTGGTGTCTAAATATACATTTTCTTGGGCAAATAAAACAATTATGCTATTTAGAATATTATTAAATACTTATTTTTGTGTCAAACTTCACACCCTTGTTTAGAACAAAATATAAAAATACAACATT